ACTGTAGGTTCGAAGGGACTCCCAGAGCACTGGGGCTTTATCTGATCGTATTCCAATAAAGGCTGCCTTTGGCAGCAAGCTTTAAAAACATGGTAAGGGTCATTCCCATTTGGAAAAAGTTCAGTTTTTATCCTTTTTTTTTTTCCTTTTCTTTTTCTTCATCTATCAAAGGGCTTTATCTCTTTATTCCCTCTAATATTGGTGTATATTTGAAGTCATACAGTGATCACAACAGTATATTGCTATTTAGAGTCTGTCAACAGAAGTCAGAGAGAGCAGGAGGACAGTAAGGCTTTATTTTACCACCATTCATCAAAGTTCTGGCAGACTATTCTGTAGAGACAGGAGAGCAGTGACAACTCCGAGATCCTTTGCCAAGCTAAATAGGACTTCCACGGAAGCTCGGGTGTCCTCACCCTCCCAGGCAAGGAGAATCAACAGATGCACAGCCCTGGACAAGTCAACCTCTGAACTCACAGAAATGCTATCTTACGCCCTTCTAGCCTAGTATCCTGACTCTAGAGAGAATACCTATACACATGTTATGATACAGAATGACTCCAAAACCCTTCCTGAAATCTGTGATTCCCAGTGGAGAATGATCATATCCAAATAACTATGAGAGCCTTTTCAAACCACATCTGTCCAGAAGCAGTTCTTTTTTTTTTTTTTTTTTTTTCTCCAGGGAGAATCAGAATCTCCAGAAAAGGACTGGGGGAGTCCTTGCAAAAGCTCCCCGCTGCAGGACTTTCATAGTTGGGGGAGTGCCTGTGCACACACATGAACCTGCATGTGCACACACATAGACACACACATTCTCCCCCTGCACAAAACCAATGCCCTAAGGAATCCTAATACATTATCCATTCAGCCATCTGAACAGCCTGAGAACTTATTCAGTCACCCCACCCTTCTTCATCTAGGGAGCAGAATGTCAATTATGTGTCAATTAATATGGTAATCAAAGGGCATCTAGAAACTTTAGAGGCTTTGTTCTTCTGAAGAGTTGAGCTTTCCAAATAGTTAAATATCTTCCCATGTAAGCACCAAGCCTTTTTTTCCCTCAAAATAACATGTCAAAAATTCTGGACATTAAACTCTCTGAAATTTTACTGCATGTATTTAGTTTCCTGAATATAATTTAGCCTCACCTTCATAATTCAAGGCTCTTATCATGAGCACCGATTTCCATACTGGGGCTGGAAAAGGGAGTTTACTCCTGGAGGCTGCAAAGGCCTCCAAATGGCTGCTAAAGGCAAGTGGAAAGTCGGAGAACAAGCCAAAAATGGGACTCCAGAAAGACACCACAGTAGACGTCAGAAGGCCAGGTGGGATGCCATAGGTATAAGGAC